GGATAATCCACACAGAAAGCCCTAATTACTTCCCCAGCTTTGACCAGCCAGCAGTGTGAATAATCAATGACACTCATTTAGGTATTGCACAATCAGATGCTTATGGTGTTTAAAGAACATTTTTCCATTGACTTGCCACAGCTGTAAGACAATTACAAGCAGTAAAGCTGCTGCTGTAATCACAAGATGACCAGGTGACCTTGCAGATTTAAAGTTGATGACTGGGGCCTTGACTGGGACAGAGTCATGATGCAGAACATATTTTGGGAGAGAAAGGAAGCTTTATTATATACTAATGTGACATGCTCAGCCCTAAGAGCAGTGTTCTGAAATACTGACAAATCACAAGACTCATATTTGCAGGTAAAATTCACCATTTATATCCATGGGCTCAGCTACTTCTTTCCATTGTACATGAAATAGTAAATAAATAAGAATAGAAAAAATATTGAAGTCTACCCATACTTCTCTCTAAGCCTTTTAAGGTAGAAATGAAGATTAAAAATGGAAGTAAAATGTCCTATCTAAATAGGTATTTACAGGTTTCTAGGATGTTAAATTTTTTTAACATATTCAAATTGCAATGAATCCTTATGAACTCTCAGGCCAACTTCCCCCACAAGGATCACTATTAAAAAGATGTGAGGTTTGGGATTCTTTGAAATAATGACAAATTACCAAATTACACATAATGCTAAATTATAACATAAGCTATAGGAAAATGGAATATGGTATTTCTAATAGAGTATTGTTCCTGGAAACACTACTGTACTGAAAATCTTTTGGAAACAAGGACTGATCATCTAAAGTTTTGGAAATGCAGGACACAATATCCTTTTCATGGAGATTTACAATGGCATTAGCATATTAAAGGTTCTGGGACGTGTTTCTCAAAACAACTTTTGGAATGCTAGTTTACAGGTCTTTTTTTTCCCTTGTTATTACATCTTATATAAAAAACCCCGTCTCTACTAAAAATACAAAAAGTTAGCTGGGCAGGGTGGTGCGTGGCTGTAATCCCAGCTACTCAGGAGGCTGAGGCAGGAGAATTGCCGGAACCCAGGAGGCAGAGGTTGCAGTGAGCCGAGATCGTGCCATTGCGCTCCAGCCTGGGTAACAAGTGCGAAACTCCATCTCAAAAAAAAACAAAACCAAAAACAAAAAAAACCTGAATTTGTAATTGTGGGTTTTTGTCTTAGAATGTGCATGAGTAGATTTTCTACTTCACTCTTCATAAAGTTTTGTACTTATTTATTAAAAGGAACACAAAATAAGATCAGTAAAAACAAGCAAGAAAATAAGTTGGTAGAACAATAAAACAGTTATGTTCCTGGCTGAAAAGACAAAGAAAAGGACGTGTACTAAATTAGGGACACAGCAGAGGAGAGTTTTGGAATGGAAAAGGTCTCAAATAAAGAAAAGGAAAGGGAGGTGTGAGGTTAACACACAGACTATCTTCTCCTTTTTCAAACTGAAGGCTGTCCTGATTTAACCTGGCAAAAGAAGGCAAACCAGCTCATCAGCATGCAATTGATGATTTATCCAGCTTGCTGTCAGAGAGAGCACTGTGTAAAGACACAGCAGAGAATGAGGAAAAACAGGCAAACCTTAGTGCGTAAGCCAAGAAGGCAAATCACTAAGAAAAACACACACACAGTGAAAAGACCACACATTTGCTGGTATGATCTTGATTAATCCTAAGACAGCTGAAGTTTTCATGTTTGGGGTTCCTGGGATGTATAATGTAAGTTTTTACTCATAGAAGCAGAATCCAATTCATAGTATTTGTAGCAAATGAGCTGGTTTTGGAAACATCACTTTTAGGTTCAGCAGGCATCACTATGTTTTCCTTTAGTGTATGCCATGTTTGGGTGATATTTATAATTCTTTCCTTATATATGTTTATTGCTTTGTTGGAAGCTGAGGTCTATATTTTTTTGCATTACACAGCACCCCAAGATTAGGGTGGATTTACTTCTTATTCTATAATACTGCTTTTCAAGGACCCGATAACTCTGTATAACTGGTTCCAGCTTGCAATGTGTCCGGGAATTTTTTTAACTTTTGGAATCCATTGATGTCCTCCAGAAACATTCATTTTTAAATATCACCAAACCATCAAGCATATGAGGTTATTATTAAGGTCAGTAGTAACAGGCAGTTAGAAACATAAGGGAAAGTGGGTTGGGAGGCAGAGGCAACAGCATCAGGAACATTTACCCATGCATATTGCTGACCAAGTAACTTCTGCAATTCTGTAAAACTCAGTCTTTTAATTAAAGGTCTCCCAGTGAGTGTGGCAAGACAGTGTGTGGAATGTATTCAGGATTGCTACCCCTAGTCATGGATTTTACTGCCTCAACCCTTTAATGTCAGTATATGGCCTTTACATAACTGATAGCACCGAAGATCCCATTCTAAGCCTAAGCAAGAAATTTCTAGAAAATAAACTTGGGGCCGGGCGCGGTGGCTCAAGCCTGTAATCCCAGCACTTTGGGAGGCCGAGGCGGGTGGATCACGAGGTCAAAAGATCGAGACCATCCTGGTCAACATGGCGAAACCCCGTCTCTACTAAAAATACAAAAAATTAGCTGGGCATGGTGGCACATGCCTGTAATCCCAGCTACTCAGGAGGTTGAGGCAGGAGAATTGCCTGAACCCAGGAGGCGGAGGTTGCAGTGAGCAGAGATCGCGCCATTGCACTCCAGGCTGGGTAACGAGAGCGAAACTCCATCTCAAAAAAAAAAAAAAAAAGAAAAAGAAAAAGAAAATAAACTTGGAAGAAAAGAGTTGAGGGGGCAAACACCCAGTGAGTAAAATACATAAATATCTGGCTTCATACTGATCCCCTGAACACTAAATGTGAAATTTTAAGAACCGGTATATGGAATATGCACTATATACAGCTAAATTTTTTTTTTTTTTTTGAGATGGAGTCTTGTTCTGTTGCCCAGGCTGGAGTGCAGTGGCTTGCCCAGGCTGGAGTGCAGTGGCATGATCTCAGCTCACTGCAACCTCTGCCTCCTGGGTTCAGGCAATTCTCCTACCTCAGCCTCCTGAGTAGCTGGGATTACAGCCATGCACCACCACGCCCAGCTAATTTTTTGTATTTTTTTTTTTAGTAGAGACGGGGTTTCACCATGTTGACCAGTATGGTCTCGATCTCTTGACCTCATGATCCACCTGCCTCGGCCTCCCAAAGTGCTGGGATTACAGGCATGAGCCACCGCGTCTGGCCCTCGAAATCATTTTTAATGCTTACGGATAAGGAAACAGGCACAGAAAAGTTAAATGACTTGACAAAGATTACCGCTAGTATGTAGCAGAATAGACTACAAAGAGCTGATCCTCCAAATTCACTGCTTTTTATTTTGACTGCAACACAATGTTTCTCCTTAAAAAAACGTTGATTCAATGTAGGGTATGCAAATATATTGCACATGTAATAAGATATTTATAGATATGTCAGTTAAACTTTCATATCTTTCTCTTTAGTATAAGAAAGTACCAGGTTTATTTTAAGTACAAAAAAAATAGGCCGGGTGTGGTGGCCCACACCTGTAATCCCAGCACTTTGAGAGGCTGAGGCTGGCAGATCACAAGGTTAAGAGATCGAGAACATCCTGGCCAACAAGATGAACACCATCTCTACTAAAAATACAAAAATTAGCTGGACATGGTGGCATGCACCTATAGTCCCAGCTACTTGGGAGGTTGAGGCAGAAGAATCATTTGAACCTGGGAGGCAGAGGTTGCAGTGAGCTGAGATTAAGCCACTGCACTCCAGCCAGGTGACAGAGTTAGATTTTTGTCTCAAAAAAAAAAAAATAATAATTTAAAAAAGAAAAGAAAAATAAACATCTCAGGAAAAGAACTAAATAATTTTAAATGAGAAACCTAGGATTCATCATATGAACCATCTTTATGTTTATTCTTAGCCACATTGATTCAGTTGAGAAAAGATAAGCTTCATTTATGACATCCAAGATTCCAACCCATAATCAGAAACAGCACAATGGTCATGTTGAAAATATTTGTACTGCATTTGTGTCTATTTAGGGTTGTACATCCAAGTCTGCTTGCATTATTTGTATAATCTAGAGAAAGGACAGCTAATTTTCTTGTTTTGTCATTGACTAAACTGCCGTATACATGAGAGTGGTTTCTGCATTCAGAATGAGTTCCTATGCGATTAAGAACCAATTAAAAGGAATGCTTCTTAAGCCCACAGCAAGTAAGCAACTCATTATTATTACTATTTTCATTAAACCATTCAAAGCTTTCTTGATGTAAACACAATTTTCTTTCTGTAATCAGTCAACATACCTGAACATTAAAGTTTGTTTGGTTTTTCCAGAGTTCTAGTTGGTTGTTTGCTCTGGGGAATCTGGCCTCTTTTATAAAGTTAATAGTTTGGAAAAGGTACTCTAAGAAAGCTTCTAATGGTGCAATGAGTTTGTTTAACAAGCATTTCCAGGGAAAGATTTTGTTAAGTCATTTGGATGTTTCATCCATACAAAGCCAAAAATCTAAATGTCATAAATATATTCTTGAACATTTGATAAATGCGATAAATTGGACTGATTGAACTACATAAAATATTCATAACATTGTTCTCCATGAAAATGTATTCCAAGTTCCAGTTTAACTTGCCAGGAACAACCCCTTGTCTGAAAATCTATCTTGTGACCTAGCAAGAACACTCTCAGCAAGAGGGAGATATTCTTAATAGTTCGTAACCTAATTCTAAATTTGAAAATAGGAAGGAAAATCTTTGGGGCACATACTCCCCTAAGATGATCCACACTGTGATCAAACAGTGGTCTAGAAACAGACTTTCCATGCATTCCTGTGTAAAAGTTGTCAGAACTAGACTGTTCTTACTCTTCTTTTTTTTTCTACTCATTAAATGTCATGTTTACTAATCTAGCACCATAATTCCAGTCTTAGGACCTCCCGTGCAGTTGGAAAGTGAATAAGGGAAGAGGTGAGTATGTTGGAAATGTAGGGTAGTTCTCAAATTGGGGCCCCATTTTGCTTGCAAGAAACACAGGGTCTAGCAAAGAAGGGGAGCACTGAGGCTGAAGATGAAAACAAAGGCTTTTGGTTCAGATGGTAAAGGAGGCCCTCAAGAGCAGTAGCATCAGTGTATCCCGAAGGCAGTGCTGGAGGCAGCCTCATGAACTAGGAGGTTTCTTCTTGGCATCCAAGTCCTTTTTAATATCTTCAAGTTTTTTAGCCAGGTTTGGTATATCATAGTTCTGAGCCAGATACATTCCAACCACGTTGCCCAGTGTAAATCCAAGCAGGAACTGAAGCATGATGTCGGTGGGGAGGGCGAAGAGGGTGCGAAGGGCGGCTGCAGCTCCGCTGGCCGGTCCGAGCCTGCCTCCCCATGCGCGGGGGCGGAACCCCCCCCCCCCCCACCCCGCGACTGTTCTTACTCTTAGGTGTGAACTACAGCCCAGACTACTCTGACTCATATTCTAACTTTCTCTTTCCTGCAACATCTTAACAGGTATCACCCTGTTAATCATTTTCTAGGGATAGTTCTGTAGGTGGAAGCTGCTATAAAATAAGGCAATTTGGGAAAATCTTAAAGATTATCTAGACCAAAGCTGCCCAAACTTTCCCAGGTCATACCACTATAAATGTCTTAGTAATTTTTCATAGTGCCTCTAGGCCAAAAGAAATAACTAACAGTCTCATTTATTAAGTAGTTAGGTCCAAACAGTAAATATTTGGGTTCTAATAACTCAATAGGTGGTTTTACACACAAACACGCACACACACACACACATAAATTAAAAGCAAATAATATTTTTACTTAATTTCTAAACAGCCACAATTACTTCCTAATGAGATATGTACCCCTATTCAGCACTCACAGCTCAAACCTTGGAATTAAATTGCACATACTTCTTTCTCATTCTACACTGATTTCCACGTAGTACTTGCTTTTTTATCATAGCAATGGCCAAAAACCCAGCTTTACAAAGAGATGCATCAAAAGACATGTAATGTGAGCTAATGTAAACTACTGCAAGCTGTTCTTTTGCCTGGTGTCTGAAAAACATCAAGTTATCATTCTATTTCCCTTTAAATTTTAAAATGTCCTGCAACACCCTTGTGTGTTCACTGTAGCACCCCATGGCACCTTGGTCACAATTTGGGAATTGTGAATCTAATACCCTATTTCATGGATAAGCAAAGTAAGACCAAGAATAGTTAAGAAAATTTTCTAAGATTATCCAGCTAATTATGTTAAGTAAAAAACAAGAAGTGGTGTTTAAAATACTGAGAATTTAGCCCATGTTCTTAAATTTAAATGGATCCCACAGATCTTGATTCTGCAGAGTAAACCTATGGACAAGAAACTAACCCTACCTCCCAGGGCATTCCTGTCTTTGCATTTACTACTAGATGGTCCTCAACATAGTGATTTTTTTTTAAGGTGAAAGGAGTTAAGAGACCTACATAATAGCACAGAATTAATTATAGAACCAAGAGTAGCACCTGTGTTCAGAGCCCTCATTCAGGGCTTTATCACATCACAATTTCCTTTCCTCCTTTATCTAGAGGCCCTCTTCATGTCCTCTACTCTACTCATCAAACTCTACTTTCTTCCTTTTTGCTTTCCCTTTTTGTTCTTCAGTGCATTACTTCCAGGAACCATATGTCCTTATGGGATCCTATTCCCATGCCAAATCTTAGATACTATGGTAGAAGCTACTGTTCATCTCCCAGTATTCATTCCCTCCTTCTTCTTTATAAAAGGACACTCAGTTTTTTGCTGGGCTAACTACAATAAAGATTACATTTCCAGACTACTTTACTGTTAGATATAGCCATATGATGAATTTCTGGCCAATGGGATATAAGCAGAAGTAATACATGCAATTTCTAAAAAGTGTCCTTAAAAAGAAGGGATGTGACCTTTCTCCCTTTCTTCTACCTGTTGGCTGAAATTAGAATATAACGACTGGAGTTCAAGTAGCCATTTTGGACCAGGAGGAGGTTACAACTTAAGGGTAGCAGAGCAACAATACAGAAAGAGCCTAGTTCCTGTTGATCTGGGTTCTCTTTACAAACCCTGGTCTGCTCCCATCTGGATTTGATTTATATAAGAAAGAAATACATTAATAATATTTAGGCCACTGCAGTTTGGGGATTTTTGTTAAAACCAGCTAAACCAACTACTGAACTAATAAATACAGACTATCTTCATAATAATATAATAACATATAATGTACTTTAGAACAACTTATACAGATTTGCACTATTATATATTTAACATATGTGAAACCTTAGGACACATAACTCCAGGCACCTGTCAGAAGTATATGAAACCAAACTCACTACCACCCCTTGAGGACTGAATGAAATTTTCATAGCCTATGTGTCACATGGAAACATATTTTATAAACCAAGTGACACCTGACTAAAATATATAAAGTTAACAAGTTTTCTTAAGGGGGTAAATTCTCACATAAAATTGGTCTAGTTTAAGATGACAAATAAAATACTTTACCTCCATTATCTCCCTCAACCCCATTAATGATGGAAGAGAGTCCTTAAAACATAAGCCCACAGAGGAATAACAATGAAAGAAGGAATGAGGTCACAAAATTGTGTAAACTGGAAAGCAGATGAACAAGCAATAAGACTGGAAAAAGCTGAATCTGAAATGGGCAGTGGGAATAGCTAAGAAACAACTTAATTTGCTTCAGAAAAACTGATATCATAAAGCACTCAGGAAGTGAAGAGGTGAACATAAAGCTATTCTTTCCTACGGGTGGTGGCTCATGGCTGTAATCCCAGCACTTTGGGAGGCTGAAGCAGGTGTATCACAAGGTGAGGAGTTTGAGACCAGCCTGGCCAACACAGAGAAAACCTGTCTCTACTAAAAATACAAAAATTAGCCAGGCATGGTGGCACACGCCTGTAGTCCCAGCTACTCGGGAGAGTGAGGCAGGAGAATCACTTGAACCCGGGAAGCGGAGGTTGCGGTAAGCCGAGATTACACCACTGCATGCCAGCCTGAGCAACAGAGTGAGACTCTGTCTCAAAAAAAATAAATAAATAAAAGCTGTTCTTTCCTCAATTTCATGCAGCTAGACAACTGCCCCTCCCCAGTCTCAGGAGATGATAAGATGTTTATTCTCTGGAGAGGGTAAAGTACGGGGAATTATGACTGCAGGAACCCAGGCACAACTGCAATAGAAGTTATCATACTAAAAATAGGGAAATTAAATGAAAGTTTGTCCTCTCGTATTCCACTCTCAGAATGTTGGCAGCCAAATTTGTATATTCTAAACAGGAGTCAAGTGATTCTTTTGAGGAAACATGACCAACCCAAGATAATAAACCTAAAAATTCTGATACTATGAATAGACAACCAAAATATGTGGGAAAAAAATTCCTAGTATGAAAATCAACTAACAAAACAAGTGAAGATAAAAGAGAAACCTGGAGGACATAGAGACTATGCATAGAGAAGAAAACGTTTAAAACACAAACGAGATCTTTTATCACACCTGAGAAAGACATGAGAAGTTATTATAACTATGAAAGAACAGGATGTTTAAGAAAAAAATCAAAGAACAAGAAAGATCTTGGAAAATTTATAAAGGAATTGAAATTACCTTGAAGAAAAGAGAGAAATAAAAGTGATTTTTTTTTTTTTAATGATGAGAGAAGATGAAAAAGGAAAAGGAGCAATTTAGGACATCCAATATCTGTTAACAGGAGTTCTAAAAAGGGACTGGAGGAAATCCATAAAGAAATCATCTAAGAGCTGGGTATGGTGGTTTATGCCTATAATTTCAACACTTTGGGAAGGCAGGAGGATTGCTTGAGGTCAGGAATTCAAGACCAGTCTGGGCAACATAGTGAGACCCCATCTATACTAAAAAAATTTTAAATTAGCTAGGTGTAGTGGCTCATGCCTGTAGTCCTAGCTACTTGGGAGGCTGAGGTGGGAGGATTCCTTGGACCCAGGAGTTTGAGGTTACAGCGGGCTGTGATCATGCTACTGTACTCCATCCTGACAGAATGAGACCCTGTGAAAGAAAGAAAGAAAGAAAGAGAAAGAGAGGGAGAGAGAGAAAGAAAGAAAAAAGAAAGGAAGGAAGGAAGGAAAGAGACAAAGAAAGGAAGAAAGGAAGAAAGAAAAGAAAAGAAAAGAAGGAAGGAAGGAAAAGAAGGGAAAGAGAAGGGAGAGAGGAGAGAGTGGCTGGGCAAGGTGGCTCATGTACGTAATCCTAGTACTTTGGGAGGCCAAGGTAGGTGGATCACTTGATGTCAGGAGTTTGAGACCAGCCTAACATGGTGAAACTCCATCTCTACCAAAAATACAAAAATTAGCTGGGCATGGTGGTGCATGTCTGTAATCTCAGCTACGTGGGAGGTTGAGGCAAGGGAATTGCTTGAACCTGGTAGGCAGAGGTTTCAGTGAGCTGAGATGAGATCAGGCCACTGCACTTGGCAACAAGAGACAAACCCCATCTCCTCAAAAAAAAAAAAAAAAAAAAAAAAAAAAGCAAGAATGAAAGAAAGAAAACTTACCACTAAAGAGCTTGAGTTTCCAGAAATGAAAAGACTCATGGAGTACCACAATGGATAAAAATAGACCTACATCTCTATAAAAGAAGATTATTATGAAATTTCAAAGCCCTGGGCCCCCAAAAAAGATTTTAACAGATCTTAGATTAAAAAGATAAAAATACAAGATTGACAATGAGAATGTCATCAGACTTCTCAGTAATGATATTGAAGCTAGCAGGCAGTGGAGAAATGCCATCAAAATTATAAATTTTATTAATTAAATATGAAGATAGAATAATGGATTTCAGTCATTTAAGATCTCAAAAGTTTATTAGAAAGCTGTTAGAAGATATGATCAATCAAAATAAGAATGTGAAGTAGGAAAAAAGAAAGACATAATATCCAGAAAACCAGGGGATCCAACACAAAAGAGGCAAAGTGAATTCTTTGAAGCAGGGGTCAGCAAACTATATAGCCAATAGGCCAAATTCAGCCTGACACCTATTTTTACATGGCCCAAGAATTAAGAATGTTTTTTACATTTTTAAGTTATTTTTAGAAATAAAAATAAGAATATTCCATGACACCTAAAAACTATATGAAATTAAAATTTCAGTGTTCATAAAGTTCACTGGATCACAGCCACACTTATTGATTTATGTATCATCTATGGCCGCTTTTGTGCTGTAAAGCAAAATTAAATAAATGTACCTAAGGCTATATGGTCTAAAAAAACCTACTTTACAGAAATTTGCCTTACCCTAGAGGATGGTAAAGGAACATCCCAGAATAACAGCTATGCAGCTAGTCTAAAAAACAACTGACCCAAACTAGAACAAATCAGAAAGTCATAGGAGAGAG